AAAATAAGAGTGAAATAGTATTAATAGTAATAATGTTTCATTTGAATCAAACCAATTCACTATCATCCTTTAATTCTCTTGTTCACATGTGAATTATTATTATTCAGTTGATAATTTTAGTACGTTATTTACTCCCTTCTTGGAAGTTTAACATTTTCTATATATACGAGTTTCAATTATTCATATAAAAATTGGCACAATACTAAAAATATCATTTTAAATTTGGGAGTTAATTATATTTTACCCTCTTTAAATCTTACTCGTTCCTTTTTAGTTGTCGTGATTTTCTTTTTAAGAATCAAACGATATAAATTTTAATCAATATTTTAAGATGTATTTTTTCATCATATTGATATAAAAAAAAATTGCAATTTATAGTGTTTGTATAATATTATCAAAATTCCAAAATAATAATAATTAGTATTTATCCTTTTTTTTCTTTGTAAGTATAAGAAAAAAAGTTATTACCTTCCTCGAATATGTAATTCCTGGTGCCAAGCAACAATTAACAATTAATAAAAATTGGTAAAACTTGTCATAATACTAAGTTACTAACCATAGTTGTTAAATAAATATTAATCCCTAATCAGTAATATAATTACTCGTGGAAACACATCTACAAGTGGAATCAGATAAAATCAGTTTTGTATTTTATTTGAATGCTAACTCAAACGTGGTTGAGTTGTGTCAAAACTCAAAACTATTAATCCCTTCCCATTTGAATATTAATTCAAACGCAGTTGGGTTGTGTTAAATTACTTTTGTATTTTATTTGAATGTTAATTCAAACATGGTTAAGTTGTGTTAAACTATTAATCCCTTCCTATTTGAATATTAATTCAAACGCAGTTGGGTTGTGTTAAAATTACTTTTGTATTTTATTTGAATGTTAATTCAAACATGGTTAAGTTGTGTTAAACTATTAATCCCTTCCTATTTGAATATTAATTCAAACGCGGTTGAGTTGTGTTAAATTATTACTCCCCTCCTATTTAGTGTTGATACGCTTTTTAAACTCTATCAGATGATAAAAAGATGATAAAAGAAAAACATAAACATTGTAAAAATAATTCATAATTTTATTTTATCACATCGAACTAAGTTCTTATTAAGCTACTATATAAAAATCGTGTGAATTGTGAAAACTTATTTGAGACTACTTATGACATTGAATAGATAACTCATTTATACTATTTGCTCTTGAAATAGGTACACTAGGGGATTGACTTGACCATAATACATTAGGAAATGGTAACTGAATTGAAGAAAGACAACTTTTGAATTGATCAAGATTTTAGGGGGGGGAAAATAAGTTCTCTTAAATTTTAATAGCAAAAGTTGTTTTCAAAAAGATGAAAAAATAACTTTTCTTAAAAACTAAATAAAATTGGAACATTCGTTAAGTTCAATTAATGTTTTAATATTGATAAAAAAAGCATTTTATTTCAAATTAATTAAATAAAAATTAGCGCTCTCCAAAAATAGTTTTTCGAAAAGAAATTGTCCCAAAAAAATATATTTCAAAATTAACTTAACAAGTTAGAGAACACATAAATACTTGAAATTTTTATCCATCTTGTTGCAAAAAGAATCTAGAAAATTTGCCAAGCCGTTGAGACATAAAAATATGAAAATATTTCGCTGAGGTTTATAATTTATCTTGTTGCAAAAAGAATCTAGAAAATTTGCCAAGCCATTGAGACATACAAATGTGAAAATATTTCATTGAGGTTTAATAATTTGCAAATATTTGTATAATAACGTTTTGTATTAGAATCTTGAAAATATTTGTATCTATAATTCTTCTGAGTTGACTTCCGTCTTCAACTCGAAATCCAAAAGTGCAGGTATTCATTCTCTCTAATCGCTTTGTTTCATTCTCTCTAATCGCTTTGTCATCGTTATGTCATTTCAACTATTTTAAAAACTTCTCACTACAGATAAAATATTTAATGTTAAAATTAGAATGGATTTTTTTTTATATATAACATGTAAATGAACATAAAATAAAGAGTACAGTTGTCATTAATGACTTAAATTCGAAACACTATGTTCTTCCGAAGTTAGTTTAGATATATATAATTAAAAACAAATAAATTAATGATGAATAAAATTTAATAACTAAATAATAAAAATTAACATGGTCCAAATTTCATAATTAAACAATAAATAATCAAATTAGTTAAAAGTTATTTAACAATGAATTAATTTGAAATTATCAAGTATTTTTAATTATTTTATAAGATTTTTGGTATTTTCGCATAAAACGAAAAAATTAGTTGGAAAATAAAATCCAAAAGAAATTTTTTAGATTTATAACATACTTTTTTCTCAATAATTAAATAATTTGAGGATTTATTTGTATTATATAAAATTTTGAATTTTGAAACCTCTATTTTTTTCTCTAAACTATTCTTTGATTTTCAAAATTTCGTTTTGTTTTATGAAATATTATTTTTTGCTAGACGTCAAATTTATCTTCATTCATTTATTACTCGTATTAAAATTTTATCTCAATTATTCAATTTTATAAATAGTTATCAACATAATACCTTTAAGCGAAATATCATATTGTAATGTTAGTTAATTTACGTAATAATATTATTGTTAATATTTATATTAGTAAGGATTAGTTCAAGTAAATAAGATGGTAATCAACACAGGCTGTTAGATGCAATTTTATAAAAAAATTATTTATTGTTATGAAGATGTAAGTAATTTAATCCAAAATTCTAAAATATTATCTATTATCATTATATAATAATTAAAAATCATATTTTATATAATGATCGATTTGATGTGATCGTGTTATTATATCATATCATAAAATTCATGATTCACTACTAATATCCATGTTTCGAAATAAATAATCACTTTTATTTTACCAACATTTAACTCGAAATATTTTGAAAATATTAGTGTTTGAAATCAAAATAAAAAAAGTTTAGGAAGTCTCAAACGCCGCGCAACTAATTAAACCTCATAAGAATTGGTATTGGCCTTAATACTAACCACAGCTGGTAAATAAATATTAATCCAAAATCAGTAATTACTTGGAAACACGTCTACAAGTGGAACCAAATAAAATCGATTTTGTATTTTATTTGAATGTCAATTCTAACATGGTTGAGTTGTGCTAAAACTATTACTCCCTTTCTGTTTGAATATTAATTCAAATGTGATTGAGTTGTGTTAAAACTAAAAACTATTATTCCGTTCCTATTTGAATGTTAATTCAAACATGGTTAAATTGTGTTATATCTATTATTTTCTTAGTATTGATATGTACTTTGAACTCCATCAAATTATAAAAGAATGTTAAAAGAAAAATATAATATTATAAAAATAATTCATAATTTCGTTATACCACTTCAAATCAAGTTCTTATTAAGCTACTGTATAAAGATCGGGTGAATCGTGAAAGCTTGAGATTACTACCTTGACTAGATAACTCATTTATATTATTTGCTCTTCAAATAGGTACACTTGATGATTGACTTGACCTATTGAATAATAATAGCAAAAGTTGTTTCTGAAAAGGTGAAAAAATGTCTTTTTTTACAGAAAAATAAATTTTGGAACCTTGGTTACGTTCAATTAATGCTCTAATATTGATTTTTTTTTATTTCAAACTAATTAAATAAAATTATTACTCTCCAACCATAGTTTTTCAAAAAGAGATTGTCGCAAAAAAGAACTTTTCAAAATTACCAAATTACGTAAGGTTAGCCTAACACATAAATACTCGATAAATCATTGATTTTCAAAATCTGGTTTGTTATCAATTTTTTAGAATATGTACATTTATTTTATTTTTATGTTAACTCTATTTATTGAATGATGTAATTAGAATTCATTTATTATATTTTTATGTTAACTTTATTTATTCAACGATGTAATTAGTTTCATGTCAATTTTACGATTAGTTTTATGTTAACTTTATTTAATTATCATATAAATTAAATATAATTTACATATATTAAATTTTATAGAATAGCGTGAAATATATCCCTATAATATTAAGAATAGTTTACATATATCTATCATTATACTTTCGCATCATATATATCTCTTCATTATGTTTTCCGTTCAAATATAGTTCTCTGTACTTTCGCTCCATATATATCTCTTCCATTATGTTTTTCAGTTCAAATATAGTTCTCCATACACTCTCTCTCTATATATATATTTATTTATTTATTTTATTTTTTTAAAATATATTTTTCATTATAAATACAGTTCTATGTACTTTTGCATCATATTTTACCAACATCCTCAATAAAATCCCACAAAATGAATATGTTACTATTGATGTCCTTCATTAATAAATAATCACATTTATTTTAACAACATTTAACTCGAAATTATTTATTCAATAATTTACATATATTAAATATTATATTATCATATAAATTATTTATAATTTACATATATCAAAATTTATAGAAAAGTGTAAAATATATCCCTATAATATTAAAAATAGAATAATAGAATACATATATTTCTTGTTATACTTTCACGCCATATATATTTTTCAATTCATATATATATATACCTCTTCCGTTATATCTTTGACTTCACAAATATAATCCTCCGTAAATTTACTCTTTGATTCACTACTAATCTCATATAACAACATCTCCATTAAAATCCCATGTGTCACTATAATATAATAAGTTTTATTTTATCAACATTTAAGTCAAAATATTTTGAAGTCAAAATAAAATAAAAAAAAGGTCAGAGTTAGTGTTTAAACCAAACTAAAATCCAAAATTTCCAAATATTGCATGAGATTCTAATACAGTGTTTCTCTTCTTCTCTAACTCTTCAATCTCTTCCCTTATTTATCTCTTCTTTAACCATAATTAAATTGGCCTTAATTTTTCCTATATTAACCAAAATTCCCTTCTAATACTCCTTATTTATAGCACCCCCAAGAAATAGGGTAAACTAAAACCCCCCCTTTATTTTTTCTTCTTTAACAAACTAAATCTCCGATCATGGATAAACGTTCGCCGGAAAACAACTCCGGCTACCAACTTCACCGGAATGGGTTTCAAGAATTTCATCCTCGTAGCCTCACAAACAGTGGTCCTCCTCTTGAATCTTTGTTTGGTAATCTAAGGCTTGATGATGAACAGGTTCCTCTCCCGTCGTTTGGTGTTCCTCCTCCGGTGAATTCTACGGCGGATGGTTTGTATGATGATGAAATTTTAACAGGGTTTAGAGCTCAAGAAAGGCTCAACAATGGTGCTGACTTGCAGGGTTTAATCCGGGCCCAGAATGCAATTAATGGGGCCCACCAGAATCTGACTGTGGGCCCGAACCTTCTGAATCAACCTCAACCTCTATCTGCTGGTGGACTTCGATCACAGCCATGGTACTATGCAGAACCATCATCACCATTTATTGACAATGACTACTTGAGACTTAACTATGAACTTAATGGTTACTCTCTTGGTCTTGGGGGTGGTGCTTTCTTGCCGAACACGGCACCATTGATGAATAGGGAACTCATTAACCAGTTCCCTTATATGTCTTATAGATATTCGAACGGTTTTATGCCAAACAATTTTAGAATTGGGTCACCCATTTCGAAGTATAACCAAATTGGTTGTGAATTGAGAGGAAAAATGGTTGCTTTGGCTAAGGATCAACAAGGAAGCAAATTGCTTCAGTCTAAGCTTGACAAAGGGAATAAGGAAGAAATTGGAGGTATTCTTAGCGAATTGATTGGGTGTGTTAGTGATTTGATGAAGAATCAGTCTGGAAGTTATGTTATTCAGAAACTTTTTGCTGTATGTAACGAGGAACAGAGGACCTCTATTATTCAAGCAATAACAAGAAATACCCACCAGTTTATTGGTATCTGTTTCAGCCAACATGGGTATGTGTGATTAAATTAGTTTTCTTTTTACGATCTATCGAAAACAAACTCTCTAACTTGTGAGATTACATTATTTACCAGGGCTCGAGCAATGCAGAAATTGTTGGACAATATTCTTACCCCACATCAAATATACACGATTTTATCTGCTATAGCTCCTGTTGCTGTTGCATTGGCTAATGATCAAAGTGGTCAGCACGTGATACAATTTTGTGTGAAGACATACCCTCCTGAGTATATAAGGGTAAACAATTCATAATTCTTGAAGAATTTGTGTGATTGGAATTGTCTTTTTCTTTCTGTGTGCCCCACCTTTTATTAAATTACTACTGTATTGAAATTGAGTCTTTATTCTATGTTTTTGTCAATAAAGAAAGAGTTGAAAAAGTTTGATTTTTTGTTCTCATCCATGTGTACAATTGGTACACAAGAGAAGTACAATAACTTTTTGTGTCATACATGGTATGGTGTAGGGTAAAGCAATTGCTTGTTTCAACTAGTTGTATTTGTATGTAGGGGTGGAACAAGGTAGAACCAAGTGGTGGTTCATTGGAACCCGTGAAAAATTCGGTTTATATATGGTATATTCTTTTTTTGTTTATACCTAAGTTGCACTCTTCACTTTAGACCCTGCACCAACATAAGTTTATATCATCCGAACCCCCTTGGTGAAAACTTAAACAGTTTATATATGGTATATTCTCTTTTATGTTTATACCTAAGTTGCACCGCACCAGTGTCGGATTCTCTGATATTACACTACTTTTGGGGAATCCGATAGGTTTAAACTATATATATATATAGTAGATGTTGAACCTCCTTTGACTTTGTGTGTTTACTTCTTCATGTTTTGAGCCGTCTTGCTGAAAATACTACCTCTGTCATTGGTTTCTGCTCTAACTTAACTACTTCCTTCATGTTAAAATCCTGAAATACATTGGTCTTTCCTGTCATGTTTACATGTAAATGAATAAATTTGAAGGTTATAGCTATGTGCTTAGAAGTAGCGATGGCAAGCATATGAACTTGTATTCTGAGTTTGGATATTGTTGCAATCAATATTTTAGCTCTTCTCTTATTGATATCTTTTGGTTTCAATATCGATATACGGGTCATTCAATTTACATCATGGAAAATTTAGCCTATGTACATGGCGGCAGATTTTAAATTCAGTGGGTTGGTTTCTTTTATATATGTACCTATTTTTATCCTTTTTAATGTATATATGTGTGCCTATATCAAGTTCGAGCATGCAGTGAGTTTTACTGAGCCTGCTGGTCTGTTTTAGACAACTTCTATTTGTATATAATGTCAATGACTAAATGAAGAATTTCCTTGAACATTAGGTGAGGGTTGTAAAAGTTTCATGCCATTAGCTTTTGTTGTAGAAGACACCTACGTTGCTCTGACTCTCCAAAAATGCAATTGCACCCCAGTTAGATCCTCCAAAAATTTCAACCACTCATGTTTGATCCTTCAAAAATTCACTATCTTTGGAGGATCCAACATTTTTGAAGAGTCTGAATGACATAGGAAGACAACTAGTTTCATTGCTCAAAAATAATGAAAGCTCTTTAATGCATTGTGATGAATGGTTTTAATTTGTTCTTGTTTACCTCTCCTTGTACGCTTGCTAGAACCTTTCAGGAAGACATTTCTCTAAGGTAACACTAGAGGATGATAACATGCATATGCTTGTAGAACATTTTTATATTTCACATTTTTCTTTCTTATAGAAACATGGGATGCAGAACCCTAAGTCCTTGTTGTTTGAAATTTATTTACTTAATGTAAGAATAGATACTTTCAAGGGTGGGCAAAACTAAATTTATTAAGGAGTGTCCGAATTTTATCTAAGTTGATGATTACACAAGATTGGAAATATTCATACCCTAGAGGGTGCAGACAACACATGGGTCGTTTGGTTCAAAACAAGGTCATCCCAGAAACATAACCCTAGGATTATAACCAGCATAGACGATCCCACCTTATATCCCTTGATTTTTGTATAAATTGTATCCTGGTTTTAGCTAATGCATACAATCATACTTGGTAACTCCCCTAATCATTGTAACCAAACTTCCCCATAGAGGATAAAATGAAGTAAGGTTGCTTGGTATGGTTTAGTTGTATTTTATGTAGACTTTCATGTTCACTAGTGTTCCTTAGATGTGACAATATGATAGTTGAAGATAATCACAAGGGAGACATAAATCACATGGATTTAGCTATAGAGCCAAATACATTATTAGTAAAGTATACATAAAAGTGAGTTGAGATAAGTATGAATATTTAGTTCTAATTTCTAAAGAACCTTAATTTGCCTTAAATTATTTAGTAATGATATGAAATAGACCTGAATAGAGCTTAATGGATACAGATTGCTCATGTAGCTTGCTCCTTCTAATTTGAGATTAGAGGTTAGTTCATTGATTGTGTACTCTGACGGACCAGCTAACTTTAACTGTTTATAGATAGCCAGATACCAATAAAATGTAACATGAGAGTTGTGATTTTATTAGATATAAACTTGATAGAGATGAAATGATAAATCTATGTTAGATGGAAAAAAGCTGTGAAGAAAGAAAAAGTTCACATATATAATATTGGTTCAAAGGAGTAGGCATAACAGAATGAAAATTCTTGTTGTTTCCAGTAAATTAAATTACACTAGCTTATGTTGGTTATTCTTCATGTCTGCAAATTGTTGTTATGCACAATTCCCTCAAGATTAGTGTTTCTTCTTTTATTTCTTTCCTATATTGTTACTAGAATGTAATTTATATATTTCCACTATATTCATATTTTTGCCGAATATAAATAAACCCTTGCTTACAATCACTCTCATGTCCCTTTTCTCTGTATAAGATGTCGGGTGTTCCCCTGTAGCCTGCCTCTTCCATTAGCTTGATTAGTGCTTCTGTTTAACTTTTGTTTTTGCCTGAAACAAGTATCTCACAAGTTAACTGCATATTGCAGCCTCTTCTCTATGAAATTGCAAATAACTGCTTTGCAATTGCTACCCAAAAAAGTGGGTGCTGTGTGATACAGTCATGCGTAGAATCTGCTGGTGGAGAACTTAGAGATTGCATAATTGCTGAGATATTGACAAATGCAGTGCAGCTATCAGAAGATCAATATGGGTATGGCTTTTTTCTTTTTCTTGTGCTTATGTAATGTGTGAAGGTGAAGTTGCTATATAGGTCTAATTACTTTTATGTTTCATTTCATGTAGCAACTATGTGGTGCAACATCTTGTGGGACTGAAGTTACCAAGAGTTACAGATATTTTAATTGATAGGCTTCAAGGAAACTTTCTGACTCTCTCATGCAATAAGTACGCTAGTAATGTTGTTGAGAAAATTATCCTCGATTCAGGAGAAGAGCACTCCACGAGAATTATCACGGAGCTGCTCAGTAATCCAAGTGGTTCAATGCTACTGATGGACCCTTATGGTAACTTTGTCATCCAGTCATCACTGCAAAGAGCAAAGGTAAGTTTAGTTCACTAAATTCCTTGGTCTATGAGCCTGCTTATATCGTATAAGAAACAAAATGAGCCATCTGGAGCTGCTAATTTAGCTTGGACTAAAACGACCTTCTAGGAGTTCTCTTTTTCTCAGTATGCTTGCATGGTAAAAACATTCTCAAATCATAGGCGTGACTATTTTGTGACATATTTGGACTGAATATTGCAGGAGATAATATGAAGGGAAACCCCAGAACTAATTCAATTTGCATTGATGACACTTCTAGTATTTAGATTGATGATGTATGTCCAACTTAGAATTTCAGGATATGGATAAAAAATACTCAATTATCCTGGTTATCTTATCAAGGTTTAGACGTTCTATTATATATTCAAGAAATTCAGAAGTTGTGCCAAGCTATGGTGTTTAAGTACCCCGGGTAGTTTATTTCTCACTAAAGTATCGACCTCTACAAATAGACTTCAGTAATCAGCTACGGCTCCATCCATTGGATCTCATGAAAGCATATGCTCTTTAGGTTTTTCTGTCTTCTACTCTTTTTCTTCCTGGAAAAAGAAATGTTATAACAACTAAAACATGAAATCAAATCATATTATATTAATGTAGGATCTGTATTTTATGTATTTATATAGCTTGTATATTCTGTGAGGTTGCTATTTATATTCTTGTAAACCTTCCTCAGTGTCCTTGTGATGTTCAGAAGCTATAGAATAGCAATAGATTGGTGCAAACTTCTGTTGAAGAAGTATTGTAAACCTTGCTTAATGTCTGTCTAGGATCTGGTTTTCTGATGAGTGCACGTGGCCGAGACAGGAAAAAAAACAGTGAAATTGATCTACTTACCATTGCAAATTATTTTGTATGTAGACCTGATATCTTTTTTGCAAACTACTGTGGAAAATCTGTAACATCTGGTGTGGTTACTGTAACCTATATCTTAGCTTCTTCCACTTATTAAACCTCATTGTCACTTGAACAATGTTGATATTGATTCTATAAAATCTGTAACATGTTCATTTTGTTAATTTGACTGAGCAGGGCATTCTGTTGGAGGCTCTGTATAATCTGATTGACATCCATGGTGCATCGATGAAAAGCAACATGTACGGGAAGAAGGTCCTTGATCGGTTGGCTAGCAGGAAGGAACAAATGCATTGCACAAGATTGTTTATGAGCGACAGGTATAAGTTAACTCGACAGTAGTTGACTCGTGTTGCTGAGCCCTGCCTTCATTCTTTTTGATCTGTCTGATAGAATTTCAGTGTGTTGTAGCGCATCTGGAATACATTGTCCTATCTTATCTGTTGTTTGTCTCTATGTATTAAAGATCTAAACTTGTAGGTGCCATAAACTTGTGTATGCGAGCGAGCGAGCCTCGATGTGATTTATAATGCTCGTACTGTACGTATAATTTTGGTCCTAACGTGTTGGTTGTTATATCATATTATTTAGGACAGGTTGACAATGTTTGTTTGAATAAACTCTTATAACATTCATTTGTTTTATATTTTTTGGTCATCTACTGCTTAATATGATTGCAGTTGCAAGTATTTCTCCCAAGTGTGACACATTTTTCTTCTTTGAGATTTCAAATAATAATCTTAAATCGCATGTTCAAATGTTGTTTTTTTCTTTTTTTTTCTTTTTGGTTCTTAAAAGATAATTCACTTGACTTAAGTATTTTATAGTAATACATATGAAAATTATTCACCGAAAAGTTCATTATAACTTCTTTTTTACTACTGAAAACTTTCATATGATCCTTTTATTTGTATATTTTCAAGTTGCTGATACATAAACGATTTCCTTATTTATTATTCTTTTATTCCTGAACTATCGTAAATGATACGCAAATCCCCTCTGTCATACTTTTGGGATATTGGTGCCCTTGCCGTCTAAAAATTAGAGCAAATATACCCTTTATACTAACAGACATACACGTGTCATAATCCTATCCATAGATCCGACATTTATTAAATATCGGATTGATTAATAAAATTGCGCCATGTGTCCCTATTTAGTCTTCCGTTAGAGTGAAGGGCATATATGCTCTAATTTTTGGATGGTAGAGGCACCAATGTCTCAAAAGTATGACGGAGGGTATCTGCATACCATTTACGATAGTTCGAGGTATATTTGTACTTTTTCCCTATAAAAAATGCTAGTAATCGGAAGTCCTTATAGTTATTGCTTGTAACTTTTATATGTAACAAAAAAAAAAGCAAACAAATTGCTTATCCACGAGCAACTTAAAAAAAATGGATCATGTGAATATTTTTAACAGTACAAAAGAAGTTCACGTAAACTTTTTTCTGAATAATTTTCATATGTATTACTAAGAATTTAGGTCAAATTTTTTGTGATCATATGTATTACTCCCTCCGTCCCTATTTAGTTGTCCATTTTGACAAATCAAGAAAGGACACCAAATTTTCTATTATACCCTTATTTAAAGTGAAAAGTTGTCATAAATAAAGTAAATAAACTTATGAACTTCTCAGCATTGATTAGTTATCTTGAGTGAATTTATTTTGGAAGTAAATTGTACTATAAGGGTAAAATTGTAATTTTACTATGCTAATCATTGTTGCCTTAATCTGTGTGTCATTTCTAAAGTGGACAACTAAATAGGGACGGAGGGAGTACTAAGTATTTAAGTCACGTGAATACATTTTCAAAATAAAAATGATAAAATAATTAAGAACAAAAGAAATATCGCTCCTTTGTGAGTGAGTTGAATTGTTTTTTTTTTTTTTGCTAAATGGTGAGCGAGTAGTTAAAAAAAATAAAAATAAAGACAAAAGCGCTCCATAGCGAGTAAAATAAAAATAAAACACTACATATAAAATGGTGATGTATCGTCCTTTTAAGTTAAATGGCAAATTGCTCAAAATGAAGCAATTTGTCAGATGATCGTGGGTTCGAAATTCAGTTGCTGCAAATATTTATGGCTAATTTAATGGTTTCTTCTTTTGATCCAATACATATTTTTTATGTATTTACTTTATGTTTTGTTTAAATTTTTCTATTATATTTGTGTAATTTCTCGTGATAAAAGATCACTCTTCTTTTATTTTTTCTTGAGAAATTTTGTCCGATTAAGAAATCCCAAATCCCACAAGGTAATTTACTTTTTCTTAGAAATGGAGAGTTTTTAACTATAGCATTTTAGTTGAACACCTCTACAATTATACTATGTAGTTTACGGTAAATTTATATTTTTAAAAGCAAACACCCACAAGCTTAAAATTCTAGATGCGCTACTGAAAGTAAATATTATGGTTTATTTTCTCTAAAGTAATATAACATTTAGATAAAAATAAATTAAAGTCTTTATTGAAAAACCTATCTACACTTTAAATAATAGATACTAATACTTTTGAATTTTCAATTAAACTATTCTCTTCTTCATATTAGTAAATATAATTTTATATAATGTCATTCAACCGTTTATATTACAAATAAATGACTATCATCTTATTAATTTAAATTAACTCTTACTAATATAAATATAAGTAATAAATCATAAATTTTGAGCATACTATACTTATTTGGTAAGATTGCATAAACAATTGAGACAATTTTGATAGTTTTACAACTTATGTGAGTTTTTATATTTATGAAAAAACATACCATATAAAAAGTCTAAATTGTATGTCCAAACAAAAATTCAATTAAGTTCATGTCATGATTTCATATAACATGGTAAAATGGACCCTGATGCTTCAGTCATCTTTTTATCAATAATAAAAATAAAAATAAACTTAATTGAAGATGCTTCAGCCATGATTTATCAAAGGGAAAAGGCTCAAATATGCCATTGAACTTTCAGAATAGGCTCATTTACGCCATCCGTTAAAAGTTTGGCTCATCTATGTCATTACCGTTTAAGAAAAAGCTCATTCATGCCATTATTTTTTAACGGTGATTTTGCAAAACCACCGTTAAAATGTTTGTTCAAAATTTTGATTTTTTATTATAAAAAATAATAATGACGTGGCCGAATTATATATAATTGGTCACGTGTAAAAAATGGTTTTGCAAAACCACCGTTAAAATGTTTGTTCAGAATTTTGATTTTTATTACAAAAAATAATGACGTGGCCGAATTATAATTGGCCACGTGTAAAAAATGGTTTTGCAAAACCACCGTTAAAATGTTTGTTCAGAATTTTGATTTTTATTACAAAAAATAATGACGTGGCCGAATTATAATTGGCCACGTGTAAAAAATGGTTTTGCAAAACCACCGTTAAAAATAATGGCATGAATGAGCCTTTTCTTAAACGATAATGGCATAGATGAGCCAAACTTTTAACGGATGGCATAAATGAGCCTTTTCTGAAAGTTCGATGACATATTTGAGCTTTTCCCTTTATCAAAAATAAAAACAATACACCTTTATTATTATATGTGACCAATAATAATAATAAGTAAGTTCAACGTGTTTGTTTGAGGATGTTTCTTAGCCAAAAATACAAGTTAATAAATAATACTAGGCCAACAGATAAATAGAGGGTATTGGTGAATCATTTTTCATAAGTTAAAAGATATTTTTACTCATTTTTTATTTTTAATTAATAGTAAATTTTATGATCTTATTTTTTCTAAAAATAAAAATAGTATAACATTTTAAAAAAAAAAAAATCTCAAAAAATACCAGTCTCTTAATAAAAATGAATTTTAACCCATTAATTTTATTGAATCACCCCTGATATTTAGTTTAGATCTTTGCCCAAAAAGAGAAAAAATCAAAGATTATTTGGGTAAATAAGCTAACTAATTCCTAATTTCATAAAGTGCAGTTGGAGATATGAGCTGTTCTACTTAACCAAACATTAAATTATTATTTATAAGAATTCAAAATCATATTACATTTAAAACAAAGCAGAAAACTATCCAAAGAGTTCAAAAAAGAACCCATTTATTTATTAATAACAAAAGCTTCTTTTTTTTTTCTAGTTTTCAATATGTATAACTTTAACATACCTAGAAAACTTAATATGTGAAGACCAAATTTAACCACTTAGATATTTGGAATACATCAAATTCAAGGGCATTTAGATTTGCCCTTAGAGTTCTTCTTGTC